CCCATAATCTTCTTGATCAAAAAATTTGGGACACAACCGAGGTACATGACGTTACAGTACAAGTTCTCATATGTCCTGAGTCTTAATTGACCTTAGAAGACTAGGGCCAAAATGTTGGCTTTCCTTGTAGCCCTCCTTTTTCTCTAATTTTGGTCTGCAAACTTAGGTTGTTAACCATCCAGAAGACAATATAGCTTTACTTTTTATACCTCGTTTATACTTTTCTGCTGGATGATTAAAACCAAGATAAAGCAAGACCTTGTTATATTAACAAGAAATGTAACTTTTGTATCTGACAAGGCCAGTCAAATCCCCTCAGGATTTACCCTGAAACCCTGTACCACAGTTTATAGATCCTTTGCCAGTGTCAGCCATGTGGACGAGTCATGGCTATTGCTTGACCAATTTGCTCTCTGTGAAAGCCTGAGAGAATGTTTTCAGACTGCTTACGCACGCTACATTATCGATCACTTCCCTCTGTGGCCCCATAATCTACTTGAACAGAAAATTTGGGACACAACTGAGGTACAGGATATTACAGTACAGGTTCTCCTATGTCCTGAGTCCTCACTGACCTTGAAGAAAAAAAACAAAACATTTTTAAAAACTGGAATAAACAATTACATATTTTTACACAAAAATTTAGAAATCTAACTGTATACAGCATTGTAGCATGACAGTTCTGTGACACTTTTTTTCTGTCTCTTGTTTTCATTTATTACCCTCTTTTAAACAAACATTTACTTGAGAGACAGTACAGCAGTAATTGGTATGACATGACAAGCAGTATGTATTTAGAAGATCAGAATGACAGACATTCCAAGCATGACCCTTCTATTGCACACTGCTATCTTCAGTGCAGTTGCTTAGTTCACAGGTAGCAGCATATATAGTTAGTCAGGGTGAGAATCCTACCAATTAACTGCTAATTTCAAAAACCAAAAACCTGCTAAATGTGCCTGGCAAGCGCTAGGGCCTGAGTTCCATCCCCAGTACGACACACACACACACACACACACACACACACACACACACAAAAAAAAAAAAAAAAAAAGCCCTGCTGAAGATTCTCAGGATCACTGTCTTAACCATCTCGTGCATATAAATGTATGGTTTTGCCCCGGTCATGTTCCCTAGCTTTTCTCCTTGCTCTTTCTTCATTGTTTAATCCTTAAATTCTCACTTTCCTTTTAATTGTGTTATACCTTTCCATTTGTATTTCTTCTTTTGAGTTCTTACACTAGGGAGAGTATACGATATTTACACTTATATATGGTAATCTGAACAATTAATTTGAAGACAACATTATGCAATACAGCAACCAGTGTCAAATTCTGATTGTTTTGTTAGGTGAAGTTCTGTATCACTTTTTTTTTTTTTTACTATTTTGTGTTCTTTTTAGATAATAATTTAAAAATAAAAATAAATAAACCTGCAGTACATAAGGACCAAAATGGATGATAGATATTGGAAAGTAGGAAGAAAATGTCCAAATGGGAAGGAGAAAAAGGAAGGAGAAAGAGGGAATGAAGGGAAAGAAAAGGAAAAATAGAAAAATGGAAACAAGGTTTTTGTTAATAAGGAGAGGAAGTGGGTTGAAAGGATGGCAGGGGAATGGGAGAAAAAAGAGAATCAAGATATATTATGTACAGTTACAAATTCCCTATGATGAATATGATCATTATGAATATCAAGAGTACCAGGCTGGGGAGATGGCTCAGTGGAATAAGCGCTTCCCTGGCAAGCGCAAGGGCCTGAGTTCAATCCCCAGTTCCGCCAAAAAAAAAAAAAAAAAGAGTACCAATAAAGTTAATTTAAAAAATAATAACCCCACTGATGGTAAGTGCAGGAAGGAAGAGGTACTTAGAAAAGAAACAGATGGACAAGAGAGGCCATAGCCCAAATCTGTAGAAGCCAGGGTGCTGCGTGCCACAGCCTGGATTCCACACAGCCCAGAGGCCTATTAGAAGGCCTGGTCCTCAGGTGGGCTGCAGAAGAGGTGGAGACTGGAGTGAATGGTTTGGGCAGGTGGTCTTTCCAGGCCCTGGGCTCTGCCCCTCTCTTTTTTCTTGGTTCCTGGCCACAAGAGCAATGGTTTTGCTCTGCACGCACTCCCACCAGGCCTCACTGCCCATTGGCCATGGACTAAAAGGTCCATTGCCAGAAACCAAAGTAAAACTTTTTGTAAGAAGATTTTCCTCAGGTATTTGTTACCGTAGTAGAAAGCTGACTAACTCAATGTGTAACTAAAATTGCTGACACTATGTGTTTCCTCTTCTGAGTATGTCTCAAACTTCTATAAGCAGCTTTCAAACCAATGTTTTCATGTAGAAGATAATGACTGGGGGCTGGTGAGATGGCTCAGTGGTCTAAAGCACCTACTAAGAGCAGGCTTAGCAAAGCATAGGGACCACGGTTCAATCCCCCAGCACCACATGCCAGCCAGCCCCGCCCCTTGGTGGGCTGAGCTGGCCACACACACACACGCACATAAATAAATAAAATAATTTAAAAAAAAAATGTCTTTAAAAAAAAAAAAAAAAAAGAAGATAATGATTTTTAGGAGTTCTACCTCCTTAAAAAATCTCCACAACCACTGGAGTGCAGTTACCTATTTCTTATTTTTCAAGCCTTTATGCTTAATATCACACACAGAGATAATGTTGCCAGACACACCTGCCAGTAAAGAGTCTTGAGGCCACTGGTGGTTAATAGACAGAGTGACAGCACAGAAACATGTCCATACCTTTGTTGCCCTCAGGTATTTGCTTCTTCCTTTCCTCCTGTACCACAGACTCCTCCAGGTCCTTTGGAGGTGGATCTACCAGTTCCCACTCCTCATTGGTATAAAATACAGTCCTCCGACTATCATTATGCCCTCTGCCAGGACGGAATGATGACATTGAATTCCTATCAGGAATGAAGAAATGTGTTATTTAAAAACAAGGAAAAAGGGCCAGGGAGATGGTTCAGTAGAACAAGCACCTGCCTGGCAAGCACAAGGGCCTGAGTTCAATCCCTGATTCCGCCAAAATAAAATAAAAACAAGGAAAAGTAAATTAGGCTTGGCAGCATACTCCTATAATCTCAGCACACAGAAGGCTGAGGTAGGAGAATTGTGAAGTTTAGACCAGCATGGACTACCTCGCAAGTTTAAGCCAGCCAGGACTTTTTCTCAAAAACAGGGTGAATGGGGCAAAAAAATAAAACTATCAAATAAGAAAAAATAAAACACACAATTTCACACATGTAGGACTGGCAAAAATTAAAAAGTGTGGTAATACCAAATTTTCATAAGGGTATGAAGAAATGGTAACTGTTGTATATTTGTATAAATTGGTAATACTATCATGGAGCATAATTCCAGGAATACAGAATGAAGCTGAAGAGGTTCCTACCTTATGATCCCAGAATTTCCTAAAAGAAATTCTTATACTTGTACACAGGCACACACAAGCAAGAACATCTATTACATCACTATTCATATTAGCACAAAAAAAAAGGTACAAAGACCTACACACCTACACATCCGTCAACAGATGAACTGTACTATATGCACACAATCAAACACTATATATCCCTAAGAAGTTGTTTAAAATGAGAAAAGGAAAAAATAGAAACAATTCTTTTATAAGAAGGAAGGGGAGGAGGGGTTGAAGGGAGGTTAAGGAAGAAAAAAGAAACAACTTATATCATGTACAAGTATAAATTCTTCTGAGGAATGTGATTATTATGTATATCTAAAATGGACCAATAAAATCTGATTGAAAAAAAAAATCTGATTGAAAAAAAGTACCACAGGAGCCAGGAGATGGCTCAGTAAGATAAGTGCTTCCCTGGCAAGCGTGAGGGTCTGAATTTAATCCCCATTTCCGCCAAAAAAAAAAAAGAAAGAAAGAAAAAAAGTACTGCATAGTCCTAAAGATAAACTCATTCAACACATATTTAACAAGTGCCTGCTCTATACCAGGTACTTTTCAGGGGGTATGGGACACCCAAAGAACACAATACATCAAGCTTCTCACCCTGGGACAATGTACATTCCAGCTAAAGCTACATTTACCATAGGCAGACAGATTTTCTAAATGCTGACAAAAAAAAAAAAAACCAAACTGAAGAATGAAAGGTACAGAATGATACTGTTTTAAGTGTACATGCTAGTGTTATTATAAGACTGTGTGTGTGCATGTGTGTGTGTAGTAAAACTTTTTAAAATCCACACATGAAAAATAATTATCAAATACAGATTACTCACTACCTCACTGTAAAGATCCAGACAGCAGGATCAAGAAAAGAAAATTTTTAACTATAATGTTTTGCTTTTTTAAATACAGTAGAAATATGACAAAATTATAAAGATGGACAGTCGCTAGCCAAGCAATCAATATACTCTATACTATCAATATACTACTATACTAACTCAACTAGGTTGGGATTCTGTTTCTAGTGAAGATGGAACAATGGGGACTAAATCTATGCACCCTCCTGAAAACTAAAAAAAAAGAAAAAAATCTGGCAAACAGTGACTTTCAGATACTGGGTCTCAAACAACTCAGGACAGTGAACCTCAAGAGGGTAAACAAGGGAAGTGAGCCCTGCCACTGCCACAGACACTGCCCAGAGGTAGCTGCCAGGCCAGGGGCCAGGCAAAAGAGGCCCTGGACAAGCTAGTAGCTCCCCAAGTTGAAAAAACAGCAAAGCCAGGCTGCTGGTGCACACCTGTAATCTCAGCAGGCTGGGAGGCTGAGGCAGAAAGACTATAAACTGGAGCCCAGATGGACAACTTAACAACTTGGCAAGACCTAGTTCATTATAATAAATTTTAAAAGGTCAGGATGTAGCTCAGTATTGATCCAAAATTATACAGAAAAAAAATTAGAAGAATGAAAGGAAATTTTACAACAGTTTCTCAGCCTGCCATAACAATATACAAAGGTACAACCTTCTGCTAAACTCTTTAACAAGGAGGTCCCAGAACCCAGTGATTACACGACACTTGTATAAGACCTGGCAGGTGTTTTCCTAATGTTACTGACCTAGGACCAAGAGGAGCTGGAAAACAGACAAAGCACACATTCTACACATGTCAGTCACTTCCTAGGCTCTTTTAGTGCCTGGCACCAAGCTACACTTGTACAGAGAGATTCTAGTAAACTGCAACCCCCAAGAAGCCAGTCCCCAAGATACTGAATTCTGACTTTACAAACATCATAGACCTGTGGGAAAATATTTCAGAATAGCTGCTCTGAAGAAAAACAAATTGCTCCCAAATGCTCCAACTACTTCTGTTCATTTTTGACACAACTGGTTTGTTGCTTCTTGAGTACTGGCACCTCTGGTCCCGCCACACCAGCTTCAGTGGCCCCACCTACGGTGATGATCTCGCAGCAGAAAGATTCCATGCAGCATAAATGATCATCCGCATCCCTCTGAGAAGCAAACTCTCCTTTCATTTGCCTGGGCTCCAAGCTGTGCCCTGCTCTGGCTCTCAAAAGAACGAGCACAGGAAGGGGAAATGAAAGTGGGAAAGACACACACAGGCTGAGCAGGAAGAAGGGCGCCCGCTTTCCCCACAGAGGTTCTGCAGTTTCAGTCTGTCACAAGCCTGCTTGCATAAACCCATGCTCTCACCCGCAGCTGGGGGTGGCATGGGGTGCACCACCACCTGCCAAGTTCTGGAAATGGTGATCAGGCTCAAAGCAAAAGTGGATGACAGTGCTGCACCAAACCCTGCATGAGCCTGGATATGATGAAACCCATTCTACAACTGTCAGCTGGGTCACCGCAATGTAGACTGGAGCACAAGCCTGCTACCCATGCCATTCAGCAGAGGCAAAGCAAGGGGTCTGGTCTGTGCACCACACTATGGAGGCCATAGTAGGATTCTTGGGGCTGGTATCAAAGGCTATCCTTCAACAGTACCTGCTCTCCAAAGGTCCCACTCCCATTTGACTTTAAGAAAACTTTGATTGTTCTCCAGGCTTTGAACTTATATCCAATAAGCACTCAGCTGCTCCAATCCTAGGCCGGAAGTTAGGTACTGCTGGCAGCAACACAGCATCCCACAGCAGCAGGCTGCAGCCTGAGCCTTGCTAAACCATCACCAGCTGTCTGTATCATCACTAAGAAAACGTCCCACACATCCAAATATTTCAAGTGGATTTCTGCAGTTTAATAATGTTTCACTAGGCACTTGAGAGAATCAGGCCCCTGCAGGCAAAGGAGGAGCAGGCTGTCCCTCCTTCTCTAATCTGACAGGCTTCTCAACCCCCTCAGGCTACAAGCTGTGGTCAAAGAAACAGAACTCTGTAGAACAGGAGGCCCCACAAGGATGAACAAACGACTCCAAACTAGCTCCAAGGGACATAAAAGGTGGTCCCAGAAGCCCCACTACTGCCAGCCCTCTTCTGTCCCTTTAGGTGAGAGCAGGGCTCTATGATACAATGGATGGAGAGAATGCTAAGTCACTGAAGCCAATAGACACTGAAGCAGTATCACTGCAGGGCCCTCCTGTGTCGTGAGCACAGATCCCTCAGAGTGCATCTCACACAACTCCCCTTCTACAGCATGGACATACAGACCCTTCACTTTTAACTCCACATCCTTAGCATTGGTTGGTCTTTCTTTCTACAAGTATGCACACCTTTCACAATTAAGCACAGAAACACACCTAAGAAAGCCAAATGGTGATGTTGACAGGTGGAAGTTCTAGGCTAAAGGGACTAGGTACCCTCTTCATTCCATGAAGAAGGGAACAGGCTTCTCAGTAGGCAGAGGTTTCAAGAGCAGGGGGCCAGGTGGCCTCCACAGTGCGTCCATCCCACACCATCACAGGCCCCAGCACTCCAGTGAAGATTGAGAAGGTGAAAGGGCAGAAATAAGAAAAGAAGGCCACTGTGGGAGATGGGACCACATCTACCACCATGGCACCCACATCCAAGTCTGGGCCTGGTTTGCCAAGCTGGCTCAGTGACTATACATCTCAGTTGTGATTAGAGTCTCTGTGTGCATGAGCCAAAGCCATAACCTTTTGGACACCCACAGTGATTTCCCTACAACAGTGACCCTTCCAATGAAGATGCCCAGAAGTGCAGGGACAGAATCAAGAGGCAGAGGGCAGCTGAAGTAAACCACCAAGCAAGACCACATGTGTACCATGAGCCATCAGGGAGGGTGTAGCTCCAGTGCTAGGGCAGGCACAGTGACTCCACAGGCCACATCACATCCTTCCTTCACACTTCCCTTCCCCAGACCCAGTTCTGAAAATGTCCATGCAAGGAAGCTGCCTAACTACATACTGTGTCTTTCTTTGCAAACATCAAGCTATATTTTACAAAGAAAATACAAAGAAATATGACATCACAGACACAAACAACTTCCCCAAATTCACCACACATCTGGTCCCTGCTTTGGACTGGCTTAGACCCTCAGCTGTGTTTCCTGGGGCTAAAGAGCTAAGTCACCAGCTGTGTCCTAGACAGCACAGCCCTTGTTAAACTCCTGGGGACAATAGGCATACACAAAAATCATTAATACTACCAAGCCTGGGTGTCAGGAGAGAAGCTGAAACAAAGTCAGAAAAATGCAGCACAAGCAGGGACCCAGGAGAGGCCAGCAAGAAAAGGGGACAGGGTACAGCACTAGGGCTCCCTCTCCTATCTTCCTTCTCCTCTCTCCCCGTAGAGCCCCTTTCCCTCTCCCCTCCCCCTTCCCCTCTTCCTCTCTCTCTCTCTCTCTCTCTCTCTCTCTCTCTCTCTCTCTCTCTCACACACACACACACACACACACACACACACACCCCAGGTCAAGAAGTCAGGTTAGCAATGAGCAGTGGCACCTCCAGGACTGGATCACACAGCCACCACACACTAGCACCAGCAGCAAACTACATGCTGCGAGACATCCTTACT